ATTCGGTGAAAATTGTAAGTCTATGCGATTATTGTTCATTATTGTTCGTCTGTATACATAAAAGCATATTACATATTTAACATCGTGTTTCTTCATTGACTTAACACATACTCTAGCCTGAATAATAATATCCACTTTATTAAATTAGTGTATTTAATTTTTGTTACAATAAAAATGAGGTGATAAAACGATATGATTAGGCGTACAGCTTTATAGAAATAACTTTGAAAGCGAAAACAAAATAAAGTACGAAAAGTTTAAAAGATGTTTAGTAGAAAATTAAATTAAATCTGTGTGCCATATCAAGTTAATTCACGCGTAATGAAATTTTAAATAGATATTTTCGCCGATATCATTTATATCATTTAAATTATAATATTACCAATGGTTTTCGAATCTTGAAATTTTCACAGAATACTTATACTAGCCTATTCTAGATGCGGTAAAATGTTCTAAATATTTTTACTATTTTTGAGCTATTTATAGGCATGTGTCATTTTAGAGTTTTTTTTAGTTTTTATTTGGTTTATGTGGACAAAATTGTTTTGCCGAACAGAAATGTTTGAATATATAACACGATGTTCATTATTTTCAATTGCATTCAGTGGTAAAAAAAATTTTTTTTTTATACAACCATTTATGTATACTACATTCCTAATATTTTTTAAAATTAAATTAAATTTACATTTTATTTTCTTCCATTTTTTCAGTTTTTTGAAAATATTCAGAAAATTCAAAATACAATATTTATTTGAATAGGAAATAATTAGGATGTGGATTATTATGCGAATTGAATATTTTTTCTGAATATTCTAATGCAATGGTTTCTAAACATAAAATTCGTTTTATATATCAAAGAATTTAAATATAAAACTTATATACTCGTATATACATGTATTTTATAGCTCGTGATTTATTTAACGTATAACATTCATTATTTCGAAAAGCATTGACTCTTTGTAATGGAATTTATTTAAACTAATTAATAATCTGTAAATAAATAAATTACATATGAAATAATTTAAAGAAAAAGTAGTTTTTAAATAATATATTATTATCATGAAAATTAACTAAATTGTCAAAAGCGAAACAAAAACCTGACTGCGTTAAAAATATCATCTCAAAAACGAAAAATAAGATCTATAATCTAAACAAATTTGTTAGAGCAATATATAATGCTCTATGCAATGTTTATTTGTTGGATACTTACCACTTAAACAAATAATAAAATATATACTATTATATAAAGATAACTTAAATGTTAGAAAAGATAAACTAATAATGCAAATGGCCTTTAAGTGAAAATATTTAAATTTTTACAATAAATACGTTTTAAAATAATTATTTACCTGTCCTCGCTTAAAATATCTTTTCCAACATTTAAATTATACTTATATAACATTATATATTTTATTATTTGTTTAATAGGTATATCTAACAAATTTCTTTAGCTTGTTTTTTGCTTTTCAGTTGATATTTTAAATGAAGGTTTTTACAGATTTAGAAAAGGCTTATAACAAAGTTCGGAGACAGGTTCTGATGAGGGCATTAATGAGAAAAGGAGTTCCGAAATCGTATATTTGTTTGGTATAGGATACATATCGAGGTTCACATACGAGTGTAAAAAATGTGTGTGTAATAACTGAAGATTGGAAGGTGTATGCAAGGCCGATGTGGGGGATCGGGTCAAATGGAGTTTAAGGCTAGGGTGGCCGACCCCAAATAGTTGGGATGAAGTTGAAGGAGAAGAAAAAGAAGAAGTACATTTTACAATTTTTATCTTTTATTAAAAAAAGTTGTTCAATTAATTATTGCTAAGTAAATAAATAAACTCTACAATAAAGTTAAATAATAAATCGATATAATAAAATATATAGGTACTATTACTATAGAGCACACGCTTCACGGTCAAAAAGACCGGGCTTTTAGAATTTTGTTCATTGTTTCAAATATAGGAGATATTAACCTAACCCAACCTAGGTACCTTCTAATTAGGTGGTGATAAACTAAAATTTAATACAACTCCCAACTGTATACGATTTGATGCCTGTACTATAGAAGGGTTCAAAGTTCATTATCTATTAATATATGGTTTAAAATACCGTGTGTGTGGTATACTGTGACATTTATACACAATTTAATTTTATGAAAACTCAGTTAGGAGTTATTTTTAAACTGTTTCATCACTGATAATACGTTATGTACTATCTATGTATTTATTATCTATGGATAAAACGTAAATGAATATTTTATTTTCATTGTGACTGGCAAGATTGTTGTTAGTTGGTACTGGTTCGCCGTACTATGTGTAACTATAAAACACGTAGGTACGGATTTTTTCGAGAGTATATTATGTCATACTACCAGTACAAATATTGCCGTCGACGATTTGTTTATATTAGGTATCAATAAAAGAATTTGAAAATTTTTATTTATAAGAGCAATATAATAATGATTATTTCAATTTATCGAGTTTTAATTACAATACTTCAATACACGGTCAAAAATACCGCGTGCGTGGAATCTCGAGAATATTGTTAATGCGTGTAATTTAGTTATAATGCGCGGACAGTCTGATTTTCGATTCTCCGGTTCTTAATAGTTCAAATAGATTCCATAGTTTTTTCCGCAGTCGCCATATGTTATAATAAAACCGACTATTGAGCGTGTCAAAGAAATAGACATACATACATGTACATTATACAATATACATACATATAAAGTATACAAATATACATACATACAAATATTCATAAAATCGAAAAACATTAGCCTCTTTCAGCAGTCAGTAAAAATACAGTTTTATTGTTAATAATGAGTGGTGTATTTATGCTTCGTTTTTTTTTGGGGGGGGAAGGGGGAGTGGTGCATAACACAATTTAGACAGCCGGGTTTATCTAAATCATATCAAGATTACTAATATTATAGAAGGTGTATGCTTCTGTGGGGGAGAGGGGAAGGGGTGAAAATCTTTTAACTCCCATACACACGCGACTGGTAAAAATAACGAACTTAATAATCTATTATAGTTGAGATTTGGATTAATTCTGACGTTACCTATAATTTGATGTTTGATGTTTGATAATATCCGATTGCTTGAATACCTGAGTACTTACTGGGGATGTTAAAAATCAATTTCGGTCTACGTCACCGTGTAAGGTAAGTCTATAATTAAATCTAATTCTAAATTTTGTTTATAAATAGTTTTAATAATTGTTAAATTAATCAGCGGTACTTAAAGTTAGTTTAGAATTGAAGTGCGCTTTTCATTAAAAAGTACATTTAAAATTGTCCACCTGGAAAAGTTCCAATTATTGTTTTTATGTTCTGTCATGTAAAAAGTTTTTAAACGGATTCGTGAAAATCTAACCATTTCAAATTCATAACCCTTTGTGTACGTATATTAACACATTATACGTAAAGTATAAACGCTGATATATAATTTTAATAAATATGTTTTTATATTTGGGTAGGTACTAATAACATTACAAAATATAAATTACATAAAATAGGTATACGAGTATGAACTTTGCCATTCGAAATGATTTGTTGTTTAACAATATGTTAAATAATAGACTCTACGAACTCTTATCGTCACGTAGCCGGCAAATTATGCATTTGCTTTATAAATATTTACAAATATTAGTTGGTTTCGAATACTAGTAATCTATTTTTTGTGAGCTAATTTAAACGCAAGTAATATATACAGTCATTGAATTCAGAAATTAACAACAAATTCAGTGTAGCCTTCTTAAATGTCAGTGCCTGTTACCTATTTTTACTCCATGCAACTTTGTAAAATTTGAAAATTGATTTAACATTTTGATGATTTATTTAAAGACTTTTCCACTAATCTACTGCGCAAATACGCAATACTCATTTAGGGAAAGGGATATTGCCATTTTAACGAACGGAAATTTTACTTACAAAGAATCTGCTAAAAATGTTAAAATTGATCTTTTTTTAAAAACTTATCTGAGTTTAAGATGAAACTATTGAAAAACAGAGTTAAATGTGGTTCTTTAGGAAGTCTTCATCTATTAAAAAAAAAAATAATAATAACCATAGAAATCGGATCATGAGACAAAGAAGTTATTCTCATAAAACACATTTTAAACCAAAAAAACGCCCTGGCATTGGCTCTCTTAACTAAATTTTCCCAAGAAAGAAAATAAATTAATATCAAAATTAAGATCATTAAATAAAAATCGAAATCAAATTCACTAATTAATGAATTAACAATCATCCAGCAGACTGTATAGTGTAGATGTTGTATTTAAACATTATTATTTACTCTATACGTCCTAATATTATGTACTTGAAAAAAAAAAATAATAACAGACTGTCGAGTTATCGCATGTAGTGTGGGTACCTACATAATGACTAACGAGTAACAAGCGTCAAAATTCTTATCGGAGTTCGAGAAGCAATTTCTAAGTGCTCTCGAAACAGACAAACAATCAAAACGGAACAGAGTGGAGAGTAGGTTTACAGATAACATCAGCGATTTTGATGGGGGATCCAGTTATAGTGCTTAAATCGCAAGTCAAATACTATATTATGTCTGGCACCTTATTATATGGGTAGTTGAATTAAAAATATAAAAAAAAGGTCTTCATTCAAATTATGTATTTTATTTTATTTTTCCGATGGCAACAGCAGACTACTTATCTTATTGTTAATTAGTATTTTTTTTTTAAATGAATTTTATGATATCAGTCATTTTAATTAAAAATAATAGAAATATAGAAATATATATGATTATGTATATTATAGAACATATTATTATGAAACTTATTTAATTTGTATTGTAATAAAATTTAAACCAAATTTAAACCTATATAGCTGTATTATAATATATTTTCTGTTGTGTTTGTCGGTCTTTTTCTTCGGAGCTTTTGAATTTGTTTTTTCATAGCTCTTTCATACCTACTTTAGACGAGATCAAAGTGTAAGCCAAAAGACAAATAAGAAACGTAGGGACTTTTTCAAGTTCGTCAGCAACGTTAGAAAAAGTAATATATATAATAGAAACGGTATGACTTTGAAGAAGACAATCAAAGCGCGAGCCAGACGAATAATTTCCTAAATTATAAGTTTATATAGGTTTAAAAATTATATTGGCCGAAAGACTGAAAACTGACTATTTGTTTTAGTCGATTGGTCACACAACATTAACAAGTACATAAATACCGAGGTAACTTTTTGACTTTCTCTATACTATATGGTAAGGAAGTATTGTTTTCGCCCTTGATAATTGATATCGATTTTTCTCCGAAAATACACGTTATGAGGTCCTATAAGTCCAAAAAAGTGGTTTTTAAAAATAAATTTGTGTGTCTTTGGTTGGTTTTTTAGCTGAACTCATGGAAATCAAAATGGTATTTACAATTAAATTTAAAATGGTCAGGTACATTCTAATAGCGTGGCAGAAAGCATGTGTTCACAAAACTGGTAATTTAATTAAAGAAATTTTTTCAACATTTTCTCTAAAGAGAGAAATGTTCGTAATTTAAAGTACAAAACCCCACTTTGGAGATGGAGTTATCTGTTCAAACCATTTTCTAAACACTTCTGGAACTAATAAGAACAAACCGGTGAAATGGTCAGCGAAACTATTCGAGTATTTTTGGGGATTATAAACCATACAACCATAGAATATACTTACATAGTATTTTATATGTACGTATACAGTTATCCTATAATATAGAAGATATTTTTAAATACGCCGATAATTCCGGGCCAATGTTATGCACAATAATTTATTGTTTTCTAACAAAATATGGTTTAAAATTTAATATCGATGTTAATTATACATTCCGTGATTTTATTATAAAATGTGTTTTTTTTTTTTGCGTGATCCTCTGTGAGAAATTTTTATTTTTCAAGTTTTCCGCTAAAAGCGCAAAACGTAAAAAAATGTTTTCAACTGTTGGGTAATACGTAATATACGTCTATACTTGTTAATTTTAATTACTTTGATTGAGTGAATATACTATTATCATTATAAAAGTGTATTCAACAAGTATTTTCTTTTTTTTTTAAATACACGATGACAAAAACGGATGCTTGACGTTTTATGGAAATTCTCACAATTTAATTTCACGGCTTATTATTATTACCATCTGCGCACACTATGCGTATACTCGCGCTTGTTGTTTTGTAAGCCACGCGATAACAAGGAATTTTATTATTATTTTGTCAAAAGAGTTTGTCGAACAAACGCCGTAAAACTTATGTAGGTACTGATGTATACGGGCAAAGTTTTTAATAAGCCGTCTCCATTAATATTTAATTTGTGTACAGTGGAGAAGGAAACTGTTAAATAACTGCAATGGAATTTTGTTTGTTTTTGTTTTCAATCTCGTTGATATTCGATTACCATATCGTGTAGTAATTATTTATTCCATGACGAGATCGTATTATTATCTTAACCGTTGATTATAATAATATTTCTCGGATACTTATATGATCGTTTAACGATATACGTTAATACGAGTTGACCAGGTTTTTATAAATTATATTGATTAAACTAATAGATTCTGAGTGAAGTGAGGAATGTTTTGGTTTTACTGTAATTTGTTATTCTTTTATGTCTGTAATCCACTTTCTAACTAGATATCTTGCTACAATTAAACATATTATAAGGACTTTCTTGTAGCATTTTTGATCCGGTTGGCACATTAAGAAGGTTATTTTCGATTTTTACTGTAGCCATTTTAATAAATTGAAAAATTGAGAATTGTATTATTTTTGTTAGTCTCTAGGTAACCTTGGCAACAACGGAAAAGTCTACTAATAAGTCGTAGTCTGCTCAGAATTGTTTTTCGTTAGTAATGGTTTATCGTCGAGTACAAATATAAATTAAATTATTTTATATCCCTTTTTTGTACCAACTTTCCTCCTAAAACAGTGGCACAACCACGAAAAATACCTGCCTTTTAGATTCTGAACGGAGCGAGGAATGTATTGGATTTACAATGATGTTTTTTTCGTGGACAACTTTTTACCAGAAATTTTTATTTTGCTCGATTTACAATAAGAGCACTTTTTCTGAAAGGAACTCTGACTGGAGTGGTACTTTAGGGAGGTTATTTTTTGATTTTCTCTAATAAAAAAAAAAAAAAAATGGAAAATTTATGAAATGTATTAATAAAATATTACGGAAAAAAACGTAAGAAAAACGGGAAAATAGGTACAATATTAAACAAATATTATTAAGGAAAATATATAATGCATATATAATTATTTTTCATAATATGACATATATATATACATATATTGTATATATTGTTGACAAAGCAACACTATTAACCGAACTCTGCTCAAAATCGTTTTTCGTTTGCAATAGTTAATCGTTGCTTACAGATATACATTAAATTTCCGCTCTACCATTCCAATTTCTCGTCTATTGTTAATATAATTGTCTTTGTTTTTTTTTATTTGTTACATGGATGAATAACGTTAGTAAATCTCCTATATTTAATTTGCAACACCAGATTTTTTTCTTTTTATTGCATTTCTAAATTTGTATATTATACATATATATATAAAGAAAACTTGACAGCTGTGTACAGTCAGTCTATAATAATTACACTCATCGGTGTCAAGATGGTCGGATGTGAACGGAATCAGTTGTTCTCCCGTGTACCCGAAAATAAAAAATAAAAAATGTATTATAATCTCTAATATTTCAATATTGCTTCATCTGGAATCTTCAGTAATAACTAATATTATAATGATATAAAAACTTTAAAATCATGAATGATATAGCACGTATTGCCTGTTAATGTATTAAATATTATCTATTATTTCAGCTTATTTTTTACTTAAGTACATTTTTGGAATTTTGGGGAGGAATAAAGACGAGATACGGAAAATACCCCACGACTCTGGAGACAAGAATATTGGTTTGGATCAATTAGTATTGTTATTAGTTTTATTTTTGCATTAAAACGGTTGATGGTGTGGTAAGGGAAGAGGAAAGAGTCGAAAGGTGTGAGTTAGAATAACATGCAACATTTCGGAAATAAACCAGTGTTTCGGCGTGCAGAATCTGCACGCACGTCGAAATCCGGGCGATGTTTCACGCCACTGACGCCACCGGTGCATGTGAAGGATTAAAAAATAGTAAGAGAGAATTTACGTATAGAGATAAAGAGAAATATTCACATAATATACACATATTCACGAAGGGAGATAAAAAAAGAAACAAGAAAGAGACGAGTGCGAGTGAGAGAGAAATTTTTGAGTCATTATAATTTTCTTGACAGGTGTAAGCAGGTGGCGGTGGAGGTACCCGTGTGTAAGGGGCGCGCAGGAAGGATAACTGTATATATTATATATATACACAGATCAAAGGGGAGATGGCATCGGTGGCGGTGTGTAAGATCGAAAAGAAGTTTTGGCGGACGAGATTGTATAGGTGATGAGGCGAAAAATAAAGTGGGAGAGACACTCTCGTTTTCGGCAAAAGTGACGTCCTGGAATTTGTGCTGCAAGGGTGGCTGCTGCCCCGTGGTATTAGACAAACACCAACCGAAAACGATGGGGCCGCGGTGTGGCCCCGAATATATATATATATATATATATATATATGGAGAAGGAGGAGGAAGAGGGAGAAAATATAAGAGGGAAATGGTTTTTGGGAACGGGCATATATGCTGCAGGATTCAGCGAAAGCGGGGTTGAAGGGAGATTATTGAAGGAGGGGGTGTAAGCTTACATGACATACACATACACACACACACACACACACACACACACACACACACATCTACACACATAATATATAGGACGTTAATGACGTCGGTTTTCTCTAAAAGGATATGGTGGTCGGGCAGCAGCAGCAACAGCCAAGCACCTACATGATGGGGCCGGGTAGTGGGGTGAAACAGCAGCAGGGCGCCGGTAGCGGGTGAGTAGGAGAGACTTACCGCTACCGTTGTCGCTCCGCACTCGCTCCTCGTGTCTCTCGTGCAGCCGCAGCAGCCACCGCACTGTCAGCTTTCACAGAAATGCGCGTTTCTCGCGCGACGAGACACATTTGCGTGCGTTCGCCCTCTCTGGGGGGCGTATATACCCGTCGGAAAATTTTCGCGTTCGTAAAAACATTTGTCGGAATTCCTGAACCGCGAATAACCGCACGCGGTAGTCGCGGTATACGCACGAACGTCTCGCTACCACTGTCGCTCGTCGTCGTGTCTGTAGGGAGAGTAATACTTACGTTGTCGCGGCTATCAATCACACGAGCTCCGCATTCCCACGACGACTGCGACTGCCACGAGTGCGCGAACGTGTTTGCACCGAATATATATATATATATAATATACATAAAAAAATAAAAGCGTCCCCGACAAATTGCGAGGATCGGGGGGTGCACTGGGTTTCTCAGGAATATTCATTATTTACTTGACTATATGTTATTATAATATCATGTGGTATTTCACTCAATATTTTCGGTAATTTGTACACGCGACGTGTACCCATATAAATCAACTGGCGGCTGTGGTGGCGTTTGATGAATACGAAACAAACCGGAAAAGACTAACGCCGGGTAGCATAATATAAGCATTCTGGTACCTACTTATTTCAGCGTCCTGGTATTCCTCGTTTGTGATCGGTTCATTTTCATCGTGTGGAAATGTCATACTATATTGCTTTTGTACCACGTGATCCATTTAAGTGGGTACACTCATTACCTCGGAATGTATTAACTTTTTCCTGAATTCATTTTTAGAACATTTAAGAAACAAGCTGCTTTACAATTTTTTATTCACGTTATTTTTTGTCGCCCTTATTTTTGGAGGTAAAACCGTTACCTACTTTTGATTTTCAAATGGCAACCTATATTAAAAATGTCCATAAATTGATGTTGTATTAGTTGAAATAAATTTGAGTGTTGAAATTTTTGATTTATGTCAAGCCGTTGACGAGATATTCCACTTTTAAGTTTGGGTTGGAGGAGAGTAACGGAGTATCATTTGTGTTACGGCGCGCGACGTGTTAATAATACACCACTGCTTTCCTTCAACCACAACTTAAAAGTGGAATATCTCATCAATGGCTTGACACAAATCAAAAATTTCAACACTCAAATTTATTTTAACTTATATTCCATCTATTTATGGATTTTTTTAAATATAGGTTGCCATTTGAAGTAGGTAGTGATTTTACCCCCGAAAATAGGGGTGACATAAAAT